TGAATGTTGTCTCATGCCAGACTGGGTAGGGAGACTTGATAATTTGGCGCTCATACCGGACGGGGTATGGGGACGACCCGCTTCACCCTCATACCAGACGGGGTATTGAGGTTTGATAAATTGACGCTCATATCGGACAGAGTATGAGGAATGCCCGTAATTGAGAATGTTAAATAAAAGGGTTCACATGCAGTGGGAACATCCCTATGAACCCCCATGGATACCAGCAGGCTAGTAAAAAGAGTGACACTTATTGTTTGATTTATTGATGATGGATATAGATTTATAAAAAGTGCTATGATTGCTGATTATACATAGAATTATGATCTGTATAATATTATTATCTGTATATATTATTTTATAAATTCAACTACGGTAAGTGAACGGTAAATGATTTTTATGATTAATAAATGAATTTACTAAATTTAGTATTCCATTAGTGTTTTTTATTTTCTACCAACCTTTATTTATGTGTCGGTGATATAGTGTGATGTTCTTATTGGGCTAGTATAGCTCATTCCTTATTTAACCATTTCAGATCAAGAGGACCAAGTTCGAGAGCTCGAACCAAAAAAGGATTGTGAGTATATGCTAGTTTTATTTACTTTTCGTTTATTTCCTTATTTCTTGTATTTTTTTTAAAGATTTAATTCCGCAGCCCTGTTTGGCTCTTTAAGTTATTGTGTAGCGAATGTAAACCTTGAATATTTAGTACGTTTTCGCACTTAAGTTATAATTTATTTCATTTAGATTTTTCCGGAGTCGCTACAAATTTAATTCAGAATATTTTATGTTTGTTTCAAACAGTAATATTTTTTTTAATGTTTAATAGAAAAAATTTTAAATAGTTAAACTATGTTTAAATTTTTTTAAAAAAATAACTTAATGGAATGTTTTCAAATAATTATTAAATTAATGAATAACAATAATATTATATATTTTATTATTTTATTATTAATTAATTAGTTAGTTACTTAAAATCAATTAAACTGTTTTTTAAAATGTCTAAATAAGTTCGAATTATTTTAAATTTTTATTATAAATGAAAATAAAAATTGTGCATTTGAAACAAACAAAAAAAATCATAGATTAAATTATAATTAAAAATATTAGAGATTAAATTACAAAAAAATCAAATTTTGATGATTAATTTACTAGTTTGCTCTAAAGAGAAAACATCAATGTATTACATGGTATGCATTTATTAAAATATGTACACACTTAGTTTTCTAAATAATTTCAAAGAGGATTAGTTTGAGTCTATTTGCTTTGGATTTTAATTATTTTTGTGACCTTGTTACATGGGCCAAATGCTCCAAAATGTTTAGTAAATGACATTTTCTTTAGAATTAATGCAGTAAACCAATGGTTGATTTTGCTATAACTACCATCATGATTCAAGTTTTTTAAAGCACAATACTCAGAGCTAATAATATATGCCAAAAACATTTAAATAACAAAACAAAATTCATCTAACTTTAGGAAAATGTATATTTATGAAGTAATTAATAGCAAACTCTTCCACAAACTTGCGGTAACATCCTGCAATTCCCAAAAAGGTACAGATCTTCTTAACCGAAGTCAATTTTTCTAAACAGAGTATTGTCTTAACCTTCTAAGGATTCACTGACACTCCATCTTTTGATATTATGTGCTCCAGAAACGTAGTCAACTTAAGCCAAAACCCACACTTGCCAATTTTGCATACAGTATTTTTTTCCCTAAGAACTTATAAAATCTGAATCAAGTGTTGAACGTGTCCCTTTCTACTCTTTGAATAGACTAGGATATCATCAATGAACACAATAACGAACTGATCCAGAAATTGCCCAAAAACCTTGTGCATCAAATCCATAAAAATGGCTGGTGCATTCGTTAGCCCAAATGACATGACCAGAAACTCATAGTGTCTGTATCTGGTTCTCAAGGCTGTTTTGAGAATGTCTTATGCACTGATCTTTATCTAATGGTAATCCGAATGCAAGTTTGTCTTAAAGAAAATTTGAGGACCTTGTAACTGATCGAAAAGATCATCGATCCTGGGGAGGGGGTACTTGTTCTTGATTGTAACTCTAATCAATCCCCTGTAGTCAATACACACCTTAGGACCCATCTCATTTCCTTGCAAACTTGACTATAGCACCCCAATGAGATATACTGTGTCGGATGAACCCACTATCCTACAATTCTTTGATCTGTTTTCTCAATTCTTCTATCTCTACACGACTCATACGGTAAAGGGCAACTAAGATTGACTTAGTGTCGGGCTAAAACTCTATGGTGAATTCAACTTTTTTATCCACTGGTAGTCCTAATAGTTCATCAGAAAACACGTCTGGAGAATCTTAGACCACAAGAATCTCTTGAACACAAATTATTTTCTTACCTTTGTCCTGTATCACGTATGCATTGGCTTCAACATCCTGCTGGGTGAGGGTATAGACTATGTCCTGGACAGGAGGCCTAACTTGATTTTTGATTCCGCAGACACTCTCTCATGTAGTGTTGGGCATTTCCACAGATGCGGCAAGTATTGTTGAAGCAATAGCAGAGTTGGTCTCCATGGTCCTTGCCGCGGTACTAGCAAGTCTTGTTGAAGAGGAACTGAATTATGCTAGGGAGCGAGCATGTGACCTTATGGTGGCATCTGGTTGTATGGTGGGGTACCATATTGTACTATGGCAGTGCTAGATGATACGGTGGAAGGGTAGAGTTGTATCAAGGTGGCACTAGATCCTCTCGTTGTAGGGTGGCTCATACTGTGGTAGTGGTGGAGGATCAGACAGCTCCCTCATTTCTTCCCTGACCTGTTAGGTAAAGATAAGTCTCTCTAACATCTTGAAGAGTCGATCGACATCCATTCGAAGCGACCCACTTGGGCTGCCCTATTCAGTGGGGCCCCTCCCTTCCTCATGTCCTTGTACCTATTTTTCACAATAAAAAGTTGAGAGTCGGGTTATATTTGAATGATTCAAATCTTTACGTAAGGAATGATTTCGAAAAACGTGGCTTTGATACCAACTATAAAGACCAAAAACCTTAAAAGAATGAATATATATTAAAATAGAGGAAGCAAACAATAAAATTAGAGTTTACATTCCTTACACAGTAAATTAGAATGCCCAATAAGGTTATGGGAATGTCTCTACTACAGCAGTTCGTAAACAAATAAATAATTTAAAACAAATAGATAAATATCTTAGAGGTTAACCTCCACTAGCTCTTGAAGGGGTCTGAGAGGTAAACTACTCACAATTTTCTTGCTGACCAGATCTGGATCTTGGTCCTATTGATCTGAAATGGTTAATGGAAGAGTAAGCTATACTACCTCAGTAAGAATATCACACTAATCACTAATACGAAAAATAAAGATTGGTAAAAATCACAAAATAACTAATGGAGCCCTTAATTTAAGTAAATTCGTTTGATATCAAAATATTATTTTCATATTTACTGTTACAAGTGTTTCAAAACTAACCTATAAGACAAACACTCATATAACATTTATAATTTTATGTAAAAATGAGTAAAGTCGGTCATTCTCCATTTTTACTTGCTTACTGGGACTCTTGGAGGTCCATAGAGATATCCCCCTATTCGCAAACCAAATATCTAGATTTGTTAATTTATCCGGTCGTCCCCATACCTTGTCCGGTAATGGGTGTCAAACACACAATCGCCTTGATACCCCGTCCGGTATTAGAGTGAACCATATCTCCTAACCTTTTATATGTGGGACCCCTCAGCCCTGTCCGACTGAGGTATTGTCCACGGTAGAGTTTTTTCTATTTACCAAGTCCGTCAACCCTTTCTCAAGGTACCCAATAAGCCTTTCATATACAGATCCTCATCAACAAATAATCACTAATCACCTATTAATATCTCATTTTATATTTACAGATCCATCAAACGGTATTTAAGAAAGCAGTATATTTTTTTATACCTTAATAATTAAGAAATGTAATTAGGGCATTTATTTCGAATCAGTCAATCAAATAAAAATCACAATCAGACAATCAATAATGAGAAAATAATTAAATGTAATAATTTAAATCATACGACGGAACAATAAGCAATTTAGGCAGTATAAAAAAATAAATAGACACAAAGACGAGCTTAGGGTAATCGTACACTGACCAGTTTTTCGACTCTACTAGTGACATATAATTATTGTTAGAGTTTTTCTAATTTTTATAAAACACAAAATTACCATTTTATTAAACCTCCATTTATCGTAATAGGGAATAAGGTGAGGAATCTTTATCCGAATCGGTATTTCGATGCGTTGTGCTACCCATTACGCCTCTTGACGAGCCTTGACTTCCTGAATTTTTCTCTGCAAAAATTAAAATACGCGTCACGCACTCAAAAATACCCTAAAAACTCAAAATGGGTGTTGAAAATCCTTTCCGACCAATTTTAAGGTTCCAGCACGATGGCACCATCGTTCTCTAGTGTTGGCTTCGTCGTCCATGATGGTGGTTTACTTCAGTGTGGCTGGTTTTATATGTATCTCTGTGAGAAAATATTTTAAAAAGTCTCGGTTGGCCAGAAAAGCCAAAAAATGAATCTATTGGCTGGAGGGGTCTTCAAGTGCGGCAGCTCTGCTAGTTGTCCTTTGCAGTTGAGGTTTTTTCTTCGTCTAACATGCACAAAAAGGGACGATGAACATAATGATCAAAGAATCATGTGAAATAGGAAACGGAAAACGGGGGTCATTGGAGAGGGTTTATGGTTTTGGCCGCTTCACCGGACTTTGCCCATGGTTTTTGGCTTACCCATCATCCCTTTTGCTCCAATATGACCACATAGAGGCTGGAAATTGAGTTTCAAGCGGGAAAAGAGAAAATTTTACCTTTTTCGGCAGTCGATGGTGGCTCCAGTGCGGCGGTAGCGATGTCTCTCTAGAGGCTAGTCTTCCCTCCGGCCTTCTCCTCCTTCTTCATATTCAGCTGGGTGTCAGTTAAGGTTTGGGACTGACTAAAGAGAGGTATAAATACCTCTTTTTCTTCTTATCCGGGCTGTCCATCCGCGTCGATGTGGAGCGATGAGAGTCGTCCAATCGTTGCTTGTTTAGGCCGATTGTGTGGACAAAATTGGATCGTTCATCGCGATTGATCTCGCCCGTAAATCGCGTCTAAAAAGGGAATGCATCTGAGTCGTCCGTGCACGCAGGACGTGATCAGGACCACCGGATCGCCAGGTATGCGGATCGACAGCGTGGCCTCCCATATGGTGCTGATGTCAGCGTGTTTTGCCACGCAGCGTGCTCTGGTTCACTGTGGCTGCTGACTGAGTCATCTCACGTGGCCGAATTTTCTATTTTTATGATTTTACCACTTTTTTTCAAGTTTTCTTTTAAAGACATCCAATTTATTCAAAATTTCACCCATTGTTTTCAAAATTATTTTTAATTTTGTCCATATTTTATTTTTTTTGAAAAATTTAATAAAAATTAAATTAAAATAAATTTTTTTTATATTTATATATATTATATAAGTTTAAAAAATTGATCTCGGGATAAATTCCGAACCCAAGTGTTACGTATTATACTAAATTTAGGTTTCCATCTTCCCACATCTTATTAGTTTTGAACCATAACAAAAATATTTCTAAAATATTGTATGATATATTGTTAGCAAAAAAAGAGTATGATATATAAGTATTTATCTCTAATGTATTACTACATTAATTTCGCAAATGTTTTCTCTTAGTGTTGTTTGTAAGAACTTTAACTAATAATACATCTTATAATTAAGCATCAAATGCATCAATACTCTATGAAATATCATTATCTTATTCTAACTATGTATTTTAACTACATTACTAGTACTGTTTATACAAAAAATAACGTATAAATAGTTTTTTTTAATTGACTATAATATATCTTAATGCTTCGTTGCGCATAATTAAATTATAATTAAAAATATTAGAAATTAACTTACAACAAATATCAAATTTTGATGATTAATTTACTAGTTTACTCTAAACAGAAAACAACGATGTATTACATGTTATGCATTTATTAAAATATGTACACACTTATTTTCTGAATAATTTCAAAGAGAATTAGTTTGAGTCTATTTATTTTGGATTTTGATTATTTTTGTGACCTTGTTACATGGGCCAAACGCTCCAAAATGTTTAGTAAATGACATTTTCTTTAGAATTAATATAGTAAACCAATGGTTGATTTTGCTACAACTATCATCATGATTCAAGTTTTTTGAAGCACAATACTCAGGAGCTAATAATATATGCCAAAACCATTTAAACAATGAAACAATATTCATCCAACTTTAGAATTTCGGTGAAATGCATATTACTATCTAGTCTATGAATTTAATAACTTTGTCATGTAGTATTTTAATATATTATTATTATATTTTGCTACTTATAAGGTAAATACCTATAAAATATTTAGTACTTATTTTCTTAAAATAGATCACGAATGATATTCCTCAGTTGAGCATGTTGTTTATTTCAAAAATTTTAGTACATTGTCTTAAATTTAGGTTTCCATCATCCCACATCTTATTATTTTTTAACCAGAACAAAAAAAAAAAGTTTATTTATAAAATATTATATGATATATTGTTAGCAAAAATCAGTATGATATATAAGTACTTATCTCTAATGTATTACCACACTAATTTTGCAAACCTTTTCTCTTAGTGTTGTTTGTAAGAACTTTAACTAATAATACATCTTTTAATTAAGCATCAAATGCATCAACTAGTACTTTATCAAAAAAATATTATCTTATTCTAATTATGTATTTTAACCACATTATTAGTACTGTTTATACAAAAAATAAGGTATTGGTAGTTTTTTTTTATAAAAAATTTACATAAAATAATTTAATTTATTAATTTATTGATTATAATATATCTTAATACTTCTTTGCACATAAATAAAATAATTAATATATAAAGATACAAACATAACCTAATTATAAATAAATAAGAGAAACATAGTGCAAAAACTAAAGATATTAGATTTAGATACCATAACTTGTATTTGTAGATTCTAACCGTAACTTATATTGATCAATAGCCAATTGAAGGGTGCATATGGTTAATGTATAAAAATGAAATGGACAACATTTTAATTAAAGTTAGTATAAACTTTGACAGGTTGGTGCAATCAATGTAATAAATTACAGGGGTTGAAGTTAACTAATGTATATGAATTTAATAATTAACCAATTTATTAGTGTGTGTGTGTGTGTGTGCATATATATATATATATATATATATATTTATATTAATATGGTAAGGAGTGGTAATGGGTCAGTGTCAAATCAATTAATACAAGTAATGGAATTGTGTAATTGATGTGAACAATTCTCCTTATAAGTTGACACGTAATTTTAATAATTAAATATTATTCCAAAGTTTTTGATGAACGATGGAGAGCAAATAAGAAGTTTAAAGTATTAATGTTGAAAGACCCAAAAATTAAAAATAAATAAATAAAAAATTCTCATTATTTAATTATAAAATAATTTAAAATCTAAATATAATTTTGTTTTCATTATGAAAATTGAAAGAGTAGGATTATTGTAAAAAAAAAAAAAAAAAGAAGCGAAGTGATTGGGGCAATTAAAGAAGGTTGCCTTTTTACCTCCAACTATTCCAAATTATATTCAATCTAATTATTTAATTTAATCTAAAATTTACTAATTTTGAATTAATACTACAATGACAAAAACATGCCACCATTTATTTTTTATGTTTTTGTCTCCATTCATACCTCAATTCTTCAAAATATATATATATATATATATATTTCTAATGTTCTTCCATTAGTACGATGATTATTTATTTCATAGACGAATAGGAGTTTATTTGTTTTAGATTTCCAGACGGGCCGGACTAGGCCGGTTAAATTAATGAACCCAAAACTTGAGGTTTAACCCGGCCTGGTCTGCAATTGGGTACGTAAAAGTGGGCCCATAATCCGTCCATCCTAAAGATAATTAATTAAGCTCACAGTTATCTTCTTCCTTCGTCTCTGAAAACCGGGGGATTTTTCAGTTTGGTTCCCGCTACAAGACAAACAAACCCCCGAAATCTCACCTCTTGCTACATAATACTATATGTATCTATACATTATAATAATATCTCTGTACTCGTTGCTTGTAACAAGAGGAGATGACGACTTGCGTATGCTGTAGGCCTATGACTCGACCTAAACCGCTTTACTTCTCGAGCTCTTTATCCACGACCAGACTGGTGACGGCCTTTCCCGTTGTCCTTCATTCCGCATCCGCCAGCTCTAGGGTTTCACTTGTGAGAGCCTCCGTCGTCGATTCATATGAAAGCTCTTCCGATTTCGTTAAGCGCATGGAACAAGCCTGGCTAATCTCTCAGGTAGTATTATAAACTTTCGTCCATCATTTTTAATTTATTTTAGCTTTCTTTCTAATCTCTTCTTCATCTGAATTTTATCATGTATTACCGCCTAGGATTTCTATTGTCATTTTTTGTTTACCATTGAGGTCGGGATGGTCGTTTAGGCTGTGTTTGATCGCTTGAAAATAGAACGGGAATTACGATTTGGAATCGTCTTGTTAGACGTGGAACTGTGTGAAGAGTAAAGGTTCATTCCCCTTTGAAAGGGGTCCCTGAAACCAATTAGAAGATGACGTAACTCTTTGATCAATTGGAAAATTGATGAATTGAACCTTATTCTATTCTGACGTCATTCCTAATTTTCAGTTAGTTGATAGGTAAAATTTTAGTAATCTATGATTCACAATTGAACCAACTCTGAGTTGGATTGTATTTGTTCTCGCTTGTGGCGGCAGGACTACAAATCTACCTGTTCCTATTTCAAAGAATCAACAATGTTTAAGAGTTGATATGTCAATGGATGTGATCTGTACGATGTCTTATGGCCTAATCCTGTTTTAATTGCTCCTTATGTGAAGTTATTATTACCTAGTTGGAGGTGCCCAAAATTCATGATCCTTTTAGCTTTCTGGCTTGTGCCCGAGTGGCGATGGGTTGTGGACTCAATATGCCTTGGGGTTGTCTGGTATCTTCAAGTTAATTGGCAAATGACCACGGACGTAGTTTCAAATATATGATTCAGTCGTAATCAATAGGTGGCTTGCTCAGAAAGTCAATTTCATCACAACAAACTGCAGTATCCTTCGATCATTGGTCTTGTATACCTGTTCGGTGATAGTAGTGATTATCCTTTTTTATCAGATGTGGATTCTGATAACCATTCTTGTTAGCACTAGTTGTAAATGTTGCCTAGATTGTGTTTGATTGTTGATTTATTGATAGTAGATATATTGTTTTGTAATAGGCCAATGCAAGAATATGGACTCCTTATTGCTTATTATGATTCTTTTTGGAACTTGGGGTTGATTTGTTTTCATCTACTACTCAAAGAAACGAAGATTCTGCTCTCTTTGAGTTTTCACTTATTCATATTTCTTTCAGCAACCGAGGCCTGTTGCATGTTCTTCTTGCAACTCAAAGGGGTATGTTGAATGCAAATGGTGTGGCGGTACAGGCTTCTTTATCCTCGGTGATAACATACTCTGCCAAGTCCCATCTAGGAACACAAGCTGTGTAATTTGTGCCGGAAAGGTATAACAAAACCTTCAAACTTACAATCACGTTTCCTTCCCTGCCCTCAACCTTCAAACTTGAGATCAAGCTGAAATTAGAGGGTAACAAAAGTATGATTTTTCCAGGGGTCAATGTTCTGTTCCAATTGCAAGGGAACTGGTTTCCGAGCCAAGTGGTTGGGAGAGCCACCGATTTCCAAGTAGCAAAAGAGTTTTTTGGTGCTGTAAAGTCAGAAGTAAAAACCGTACAGGTCTTTGAAGCAACATCTCATTAAGTTTGATTTATTCTCCATTTATTTTGTGGAAAATATGGTCAAGTGTTTGAATAGTCATAGATCTTTTAATCCGGGAGTACAGATCGGACTTTGCATTATTTTTGTTGTAGATTTGAAAAATCACATCATTATACGTGAAAACATTAACATGTAGTGAATTCTTGAAACAAAGGTACATTGATTGCTTTCCCAGGTCTAAAATATGTTTGTAGTATCTAACTTTTGCTGCGTATTTGTGGGAGCAATCATCTATGAACTTGAATGCTGTGTTATTCCATAGATTACGCCAGCAGCTGCCAGCCAAAAGCCTAATATATGGAATGGTAATAAACTTAACAAGGATAAATAATTTACTTGTTTTAAACCATGCAGATAAGATAAGAATAAAAGACAGTAACGAAAAATAAAAACCCTGCAATTATCATTTATTATTTTTATTTTCAAATTCTTAGCTGTGGATAAAAATTTATATTTTTAAGTTTTTAGTCCCTAGAAGGACTTTGAAAATGCATTTGAAACAATTTTGTAAAGTTGAAGGAACAAATTGTTAAAAAAGGAACAAACTTACAACATAACCAATAATTCAGCAACTAAATAATTATTTACTCTAATATATATTATTAACATATTCATAAATTTCTTCATAGATTTTATTAGTTGTCTCGTCTACATTACTGTATATGTGTTTCCTGCCCTTCACAATCCTTTTCGATATGTTATTTACAGCTCATGGTGTGTCATCTATCGTGCAATGCAAGAATGGCACGGTTCTTCAATTGGCATACATGAGCTAAAATTGTGGGCGGCACATAAATTATCTCTAATGAATTGAATCTATTATACATGAGAAATCTATGGATTCCACCCGCGGTACCCAGACAAAGAAAGCTACAACAGAAATTAGAGATAAACTATAGTGATCTTGCATCACATAACTAAATCTACAAAATGCTCATATACAGGACCTGTCTTCTTGTATTTTACATGGTGACAATCTCATTAGACAACAGCTTGGGCTAAAATCAGGACAAGAGTTCCTATTAGCTGTGGGGGGTTCAACATGTTGGATTCAAATTCAGTTTAGAGTCCCCTTGGTGTGTCTCCAAGTGAATGTCAATGACCAAAAAAATCTCATCCGATAACAGCTAATACAAGTAAGGTAAGACAAGTTTTACAAACTTAAGCAATATAATAATCAGATTTTTTGTTATTGTAAAATTCTAGAACCTTGAGATATAACAATTTTGCACCCAGAAATACACCTTGGGGAAGTTGTTTAGTTAGTCTGAACTATGGCTGAGAAAAGTAACTTATTTATGTCTTCAGAATCTGAGTCATGCTCTTCGTTCCCTGCATCAATAACAATATCTCAAAAACAGGCAAAAAAATAAAAATTGTACTCGGGGCCCAGATAGCTTCTTCGAGTGCCAGTCTGTTGAAAGAAAGCTGAAGTTACTACCATTTTATATGTAGGAAACTTTACATGCACAACTGTTTTGATTATATGTGTGAAATTACTATCTTCAAGCTTGAAACTTTCACAGTCCATGGACGATGATCAAGAAGAATGATGTCCTTTAACCAATTAACCCCAACAGAAAGAGAACTGCAGAAATAAATTGTTAAAGAGTGGTGTGCACCTCTACCTGTTCTTGATCTGACTTGAGCTGTCCATTCATCAATAATCTGCATAAGTGAGCCGGAGAGGTGGGTGAAGCACTTTCTTTTGAAGCATTGGCAAATTCATTGGTGTATGCATGTGTAACAATGAATGGAATGAATACAAGAGTATGAGAAAAATCTAGGTTATTGTTGGCAAAGCAGTAGCTATCCAAGTAACATCTCTCCTTATGAATTTGCTTGCAAGCAAAGCCTTGCCATTAGCTTAATCTTGGTTGCCTGCTGGCAAATGGTGCAAAGCTTCAACACCATTACGAAAATGGGCAACCACAAAAGTAAACACTAGATTGAATAGTGAATGAAAAATATCTCTAAAAATGTTAAACCTGGTTGAAGCTAGCAAATGCAGGATCATCTGCATCACTTGTGGTGGGAACATCCAACGATGCCTGCATCCGCTGCAGTATGCTTCTGTTTCCAACAAGAGTTGTTCGAGCCTTGTCGATCAACTCCTGCACATTAGCAAGATGTACATTATAAAACTACAATTCTAATCTAAATTCAATTCTCTTTCGCAGAAGTGCTGAAGAAGTTGTTAAATAATTAAGATTTAAATCTTATTAACGTGAGAAAGGACTATCAGATTCCATAAATCGAACATCAAAACATAACTAACCACGTATATTCAGGAAGAAGTAATGAACTTCTCAAACTTATGCAAGTTTACACCCATAATAATATAACTAAAATCTCGTATATTTCGAATTCCTAACTCTGGATTTCTTATCAGCTCTTATTTTTAGTGAAAAAAAGAAAAAAAAAAAACTTAAATTACCAAAATTGAAAGTACATTTTCTCAGAACCAAAACTAACAGTAAAGCAGGTAAGCAGGAACCTGTTTGGCTGATAAAAGTTCACGGCATTGCTCTTTCAAGGTCAGAACATCTTCCTGTACCTTCTTTATCCTATATAACAGCTTCATTGGATTTGCCTACCACGAACAACTCACCCTTAAAGTTCACTTGCAAAAAAGAGATCCCGAACTGAATTAGAATTTAAAGCGTAATCAGAAATTAGGTTCGCTTACATTATTAGGATAAATTTGCTGAAACTCCTTCTCCAGCTTGTAGTGAACCACAGAGAGATCATGGTTCGCTTTGGTGAACAGATTCACCAAAGTATCCATAGCTTGGTGATGATTCTGTTGACGAAGGTGATGATCCATCCTCCGTCGCTCTGAAGTAACTTTTCTCTCCCTCCTAGGGTTTCTTTTTTGTTAATTTTAGATTGCAGATGATATTTTCCCGCTCCTGTTAACTTTTGGTTTCCCAGGGACTAAAGAAAAAGGCGTTTGGCATTTGCTGCTCTTCACGAGATATGCACGTGACGTTGATTTATCCTTTCTTTTGTGAAACGACGTCGGATCATCTTGTTCGGTATAACATTTCTGCCTGTAGAGGATTTCTTTCTTCTTCGGTGTTGATCTCGCTCATCTGCCAAAAGTCGAATGGATCCTCTCTCTTCCGCGCAGGCAACGGGAAGCGAAGTTGAAGATGAAGAGAGAGCTTTAGAGAATCAGTTAGAGCTTCAGTTGAAGGATCAAAGAGACTCTCTCGCTGCCATTAGTGATGCCCTTGCTTTTGACCCTTCCAATCCCGAGCTCCTCTTGGTACTCATCTTTTGCTCGCTCACTCTCTCTATCTCTACATCTCTTTTCTGAATAAGGTTTCTTGGTAGCCGAACAACTTTTTACGTTGTCTTTCCTTTCTCTTTAAAAAAGAAAAAAATTATTTTCGAGCGCATCTCTTCTTATCTTTACGTTTTCCCGTGAAATTTTATACATTCTTTCATTTTTTCTTTTTAAAAAAATTCTGCCTTGTGATACTATCATTACTTGATGAAATGACTAGATAAAAACATCCAATTTAGATTTGTGGCTAAACATTGTGGGATTAATTCAAACCTGCACTACTGATATTTTGTTTCTGTTTTTTTTTTTTGGTGAAAAAAATTATTCTACTGAAAGAATCGGGTACTTGCCTTAAACTCAATCCATCTTTGGTCAGCTGATATTTTAGTGTTGAAACACAACCTGAAAATATCCTCTTGTTCCTCTGCAACTTCAGTTCTATGGCATTGTAGCTTTATATATACGGTTCCTATCTATATAAAGCAGGAATCTTATCTGCTGAAACCCTTTTCTTTTTCTGGGAGAAAATTACGTGTTTTTTATGGCGGGAAAATTATGGAGGAAGGCTTGTGCTTGGGTTATTTGATTCTCCTCTAAGCTGTTGAGGAAAATCACTGAAAAGAGCTGATGAGGAGCTCCTTCGTATCCTGTGTTCTTTATTTTTACAGTTCTGCTTCTTCTTTTACCCTTTTATTGACGCATTTTTTTTATGTGGTTGTGATAGGTTCATGGAGAGCTTGTTCAGGCGATCAAAGATGCAGAGGAAGGGCTTCTTCATCTTAAAAGAGCACGGCTGTTGCGAGAAGCTGATTCTGCACTGCATGTTTGCCATCACTCTGACGAGAACGTTGAAGTTGAGCCCCTTGATCCAGGTGATGATGTTGAACCAGAGCCCCTTGGGGAGCAAACCTATTCTATTGGATCAAAATGCAGGTTCCGTAATGCTGATGGACGATGGTATAATGGTCAAATTGTTGGATTGGAAGGCTCTAATTCTGCGAAGGTTTCTTTCCTCACACCTACATCGGAAAAAATGATGGTGAGCGTGGGTTTTTCTTGGCCTTTCTACCATTTTCATGGATCTGCAAAGATCCTTTGTATCTTCTAATTTTGTCCATTTATATATTCTGATGAACTGGTGTATCAAAATTATCAGTGGACTTCAATTGGAATTGGTTATACCATAAGAGATTTCTGTTTTTTAGACCACTAGTTGACTCTCCTTTGTTATTTGATTAAGAAAGCTAATCTTCTATTTTGTTAAGCACTGCCACAAGGTTTCAAAGTGCTTGAATTTTTTTTTTTACTCATATGTAGCTTTCTTTTCCTAACTATTTTTTACTACTCTGCTCACTTGTATGAACTAGATTTTCTTTGGCTGAGAGCACAAAGAATAATATATTAAATTCTAATCAAGCATGTTTTATCCTACCGAATGTGGTATTTATTTTCTCATGTGTCAGTTAACTAATGCTCGACCACCCTAGTGCAGATTTGCAAGTTCTTTCTTCAACAAAGATGTCGATTTGGCGGTAGCTGCTGCCTGTCACATGGTACGATGCAATAGTTTTTATAGCAGGCTATGCAAATTGATGAAGACAATTTTGGCACCATGTTTTTATCTCGCATTATCTAAAGAACTACGACTACCATATCCAATATCTAATTTTTTCTTGAGCAAACAAAATCCAATATCTATGATGATGCAAGCGTTGTTGTGTTTTTTATTTTGGCATCATGTAGTTTCTAGTACATCTAAGCTAAGATAGATTTATATGTGCAGGAGTTGATGTCCCACTATCATCCTTGAAGAAGTATATCCCAATTAAATGGGAGCAGTCAATGGTAGGGACCAGCATTTGGGCAATTTCAGATGGTAAAGCTGGCATTTGGAGAGAAGCCGAACTTGAATCATGGGATGATGAAGTCAAAGTAGGGAAGGTTGTTTTTCGACATGATGGAAGCTCTGTGAAGCTTGGGGTTGGAGCTATGACGAAATCTGAGTATGCTGAAATAAGCGATGAAGATGAAAGTGATTTCAGCGCCAAGCAATCTGAATCTGATTCTAGTGACGATGAGGAAGAGAGTTCACAGGGTTTAGGTTTTCTTGAGAGCACTGCCCTACAGAGGGGTATCCAGACAGAAACTACCATTTTCGCAAAATGGGAGAATCACACTCGAGGAATAGCTTCCAAGATGATGGCTAATATGGGTTATCGGGAAGGAATGGGTTTAGGTGCATCTGGACAGGGGATGGTTGATCCCATCTCTGTAAAAGTCCTCCCACCAAAGCAATCACTTGATCATGCTCTAAAATCTCAGAATGATGTTGAAAATAAAGAAGAGAATCGAGGGAAGAAACGCAGTAGAGGTGGTAAGAGAAAGCGTGAAAAGAAGAATGCAGCAGCAGTTAAGGCTGCAAAAGAAGAGGAAGAATCAAGACCAGATGTTTTCTCTCTCATCAATAACCAACTTGCCATGCATCATGAAGCTGTGAATGGTGGTGGGTCAGCAAAGAAGCAGCAAAACAATGGTTCAGGAGAGGAAAAGAAGGTTGATAGACGGGCTCTGGTTGCCTATGATGATGAGGTAAAGGAATTGAGAATGCGAGTTGAGAAGCTTGAAGATATGCTAAGAAGAAACAGAAAAGAAAAATTGGTTTATGAGGCTGCGATGAGGAAGTTAAATGAAACCCGGAAAGCATTGGCAGAGGCTGAAGCAGCTCATGCATCGGCATCAAATGCAGTTGTCAGCAGAGAAAAAGAGAAAAAATGGCTAAAATTTTGAGACACTAAGATTTATAAATATAAATTTCACCATAGTGCTGAATACCTGTTGTTTTGACATAATGTATATTTCTAAGACCCGGTGGAACTAGAAATATATTATATAGAATTAGTTTATGCATATTGGTTTATTTCCTACAAAAGCTTTTCGGCTGCGTGGGATTTCTTCCCAGATTTTACTATGGCCCAATAAGTTGCAAAAGAGGGTAGTTGTCTCCAAAAAAGAAGATACAGTAGAGTAAAACAAAAGTTCTACTATCAATTTGAACATGTTGAGATATCTTGAGCCTCTGCTAAAATTAGGGGGTTCTATTCCCACATTATATTTAAGACAACTGACCTGGTAAAAAATGTCAAGATAAAATTAAGCACACCTAAGCTTGTAAGAGTAACGCACATATACAACAATGGACGTCTCTTGTTTGCCTCAAAAAGAATGTACATGTATAAAATATCTTATGCTAGGTCATAATCTCCTGTGTGTTCTTATGAAATTTGTTGTGTTCATGGCAATAGCAGTTGAGCACATATAAACCCCACCCAGGCACAGTGCTGCAGTCCCTAAAAGGAATGACTTCCATTGCCTTCCTGATGCAATAATAGCCAGAGCAGCCAACACCAAAGCCACCTTCGAAAGAGTTTCTTTCCATGCAGTGAAAGCTTTAACTGCCTTGCTGCAACTTCTGCAATGGATTACATGCCTGAAGTACCTGTTCCCCAAATTAGGAGCGTGCATGGACCCAAGTCCTCCCTTGGCCGGAGCAGATGCAGAAAATCCAGCAACGAGCCCGGCTGGGGCATGCTCTATCACTGCAGGTTCTTTAGGCAGAGATATTGTGCTGTGCCCGAAATGATATGGCATCCCATGCCCAACTCTATCCATCCATTTCCTGTACTCAGCAACCCAAGTATCAGAAGACTTTAAGTTCAGGTACAGCTTTTTGGTGGGCACTTTTTCTCTCATCAATACCTCATTTTGGGACGACAAAAACCCCATGTCTTGCTCGAATACCTTGCTTGCATTCTGATGTATGTACCATTTAGGTAACATCTTCACTAAAGGATTTCGTTTTGTCGCCCCAAATCTAACAATCAGCATAGATTTCCCTTGTCCAGTTGGTCTACAAAGAAACAGGCCTGAAAAGTAATGTGTTTCTCCATTATTGTCAACAAACTCTCTGTTATTTTGAAGAACACATGGTGCTTGGAAGTGTAAAAAGTTTGGCATTGACCCATCTTTCTTCTCCCTACCCCACCAGCCTGCAAATCCTCTGTCTGTACGCTCAGTCACCTGGAAAACAAGTGCCTCTGCTTCTTCTCTTTTGGCTGACCAGTCTGTCCTGTCATGTGATATCGGCACATGGGCTGGATCCATGAGGTTTTCAAGGAGGATGGAGTGATCGTATGGAAGCTCATGGATTGTTGAAATGTCCTGAAACCCTGGTCTGGCAAAGTTTTCGAACCAGGGTAGCTTGTCTGCCTCTGGCGGTGTATTGACTGACATCCACACCCACACAACTCCTTGAGATTCTTTCACTTCATAAGTCTTCAAACATGCTTTTCGAGGAATCTTGGCATCTGCAGGAAGCTGTTGACACAGGAAAATTATCAACACCAGTAACTGATGAATCTGGATTCTTGATTTTTTCTCCTTAAATGAAAAGTGCCAGTAAAATATTAGCCTATTAGGCTCTTTCCACAGATCAACGAAGGTTGTAGCTCTTTTCCGTTCCCACATTAGAAGAATTCTAATGCATTTACATCAGGACCAAAGCATAGTAAACTCCATAACTAGAGTTACTTAATTGTAGGAATACCATACATACGAGGCAATTCGAACATCAAGCATGATCAAAGCCAAAAATTGAGCTAGAAGCTGGAAGAGTGACCATCAAAACAAGTAGAGTTTTGATACGATAAAAAGGTAAAGCAAGTAGACTTGAGGGTGGACCTGAGGTATCTTGACACATTTGCCATCAGCACCAAATTGCCAACCATGGGTACAGACATTCTAGTCTCCCATCCATCAACTGACCCTCAGATAGCTTAGCTAACCTGTAATTAGCAGGAGACTAGCATTCGGTCTCCTTGAAAAAAAGATACACATGAATGCAGGTATCGAAAGCTCAATGCATATACAAATGGCTACAAAAATAGTAGGATTTAAGTC